GAAGATCCCACTTCGAATATAACTTACAATTTAGTTAATTTAATGCTTAGAAAAGTTGCAATAATTATAAAATCAAAAGGAAATCCCACCAAGGAAGTGTTATATACTTGTAAATTAATGTAAATTTCTTTTTTTGTAATGAAGTTTTAAAAATTAAACAGTTGTGCGATGGTGTTGTTTATTGGTTCAATATTTCTATCGATTAATTGTTTTTTTCTTGTTAATTTTGCAATTTACATAAATAGTTATTTTTTGTACTCTATCTATTCTAGAAATTTCCGGGAAATATGTAGAATGTCATTGTTTATAAAAAATTAATTAATAAATTACAATTTTACATAGTTTTTTTGGAAATTGATCGGTGCACGAATACTTTCTACACCCACTGTAAGTATAGTTGGGATGACGAAAGCAGTGACATGGTTGGTGTCGGGAGAGTTCAATCCCCTCTTTACTGTTTATTCAAGAGAACTTATTTGATTTTCGTTTTTAATTTGTATCAGTATGTATATTTAATATTCCAAGAGTAGTATCTGTTTGTGTCTATAAGTTTCGTCAATAATATAATTATAGTCACGCGAAAAGAGAACTACAAATTCGAGGTATGTTACGAAGGGTCTTTACATGTTTAACAAGAGTTCGTTAATTTAAAAAAGGAAAACAGTAATGGGTCAAGAACTTAGTTAAGTACTTTACTCACGAACGAAACCTAGCAGCATTCGTGGCTATTTTCCTTTAAACAATGTTTCGTGCAAACAATTTTAATTCGTGTTTACAAAGACAAGATTAATAAAGAACTGTGAATAATATTAACATCAGCCTCGAGGAGTTGCAGAATCGATATAGAAAATGATTCAAAGCACTGACTCTATTAATTAACACAATGCATTCTTCGAAACTGCTTGGAGGACCAGAATTGTTATTATTTCAGCATTTCGACCCCTGGTTCTTACGGAAGTATTATTAACAAACAACTGACGGCCCGAGTGGGCTGCGGATTAACCTTAAGTACCATCAAGAAACACGAGATATTGACACTTTTGATACCGACGTTTATACAATTACATAGATTGTGTGCAAAGAATCGGGTCCTTAGCTGTCGCGACGGAAACGCGGTTCTACAACCGCAGGGGTTGAAACCAGAGACGAGTGAGGTTTGATTCGAATGATGGACGACGAATAAACACGCAGTGATTCTGATTCAATTGCAACATTTATTCGATTGAGCAATTCAATCTTTATTTAATTCTCTGCTCAATTCAGATTTAAATTTTGATTCGAAGAGAAGTTATAATAGGATAATCAGTTAGATGATCAGTATAGGATTATTTTCTGCTATTAATTATTCGAAATTTGTATCTAGATGGGAATTAGGCCCATCTCCGATCGAAACTAAGTAGAATCGAACTGAATCGGCCGTTGGAAGCGAGTCCACCTGTGGTTTCCACCAAACCGTATGGTGGGGATGGCTGCTCAGGTGGCCTTGAGGGACCAACGCGTTTCGCGTCGACTTCAGCTCGGCCCAATCAATTAAGAAGTCTCGCGTTATCATGGACGACAACGACAAGTCACGAAATCTTATCTGCGTAACAGACAGAGCCGACTCACGCTCTCCGACCACGTTATCACAATTTTTATTCCAAACTCATTCACTCTATTTCTCTCGCTTGATCGCTCTCATCCTCACACGCCATTCGCCTTTTACTATGTATAGAAACGATTTTATTTTATTTTAATTTTTTTTTTGCGAAACAACTCAAGGAACATTTGGTATCGAGGGCAATAATTCGGTCGGGCGACGATGGGCTGGTGCGAGAAATCAAATTTCTTGCCGCGTTTGACCGCGTAGGAACGTTTTCTTTTTCTGTAGGCCGAAGCTGCTTCCGAGTCTGTCCTGCATAGCACACTCGAGACGATAAAGAATAATATATTCTACATATAAATTTTCTCAACCGTGGAACGTTAAATTGATTCAATTTTTGGTTAAATAGTCTAACACAGGATGATGGGAAGTGTTTTAAAGCTTAGGAAAATATAGCAGCTGTCGGTACAAGTAAAAAAATGTATAATAGTTAAAAAAAAAATCATGATTTCAATACTGTAAGTGACAGACTGCCTGCCTCCTGTTCGCCGTAGAAGCAAAGTATTTTAAAATCTAAAAGAATATAAAAATTCTATACTAGTTTAAAAAAAAAAAATCGTGGTTTTAATAATCTGTATTGTTTACTGTGTTTCACGCGTTTTCTTTCCATTTTCCACGAACAAAGATTTACACAACGCAGATATTTCTTTTTTGTTTCGTTTCCATTCGATCGTTTCACGTGGGCGCAAAAATATTTTGCGGATGCCAAAACGGAGAGCCATCGATGTCGCTGAAAATGTTTATAATGCGTTACAAATACTGGCTCGACGAATTTCTGAAACCATCCGTCACGTGCAAGGCGTGCCCGCGTTGATGGAAATCTAACGCGGGTCAAAAACGGAAATTTCGGGGGACACGTCGCCACACGATAAGCTTTTTCACTGGAAACTGAAATTTTTCGGGAAATCTACCGCGTTGTTTAGGACTGTTTGTAACGTTTGTTCGCGGAAAACGAAATTTCACTTGCTGGAAAGCGTTGAAAAATTGTAACATGGAATTACGGAAGAAACATTACATAATTTTATGAGTATTAATCTCTGTGGTATTGTGTGAATTGTGAATTGTAAAATAAATTCACTGGAAGAACTGATCGGATGTGACAGGTTTCATTGAAAATTAATGCTGCTGTTATACTAGTTAATTGGAAAAGGGAAAACGAAAAAAAATAACTTAATTTGCAATGTCGTCTGAACAACATAAAACAATGATTATCAGAGGCTTGTAAAAAGGATCGATTCACTGAGTATTCGTGGTTATAGAAACAAAAAATTTCTTGAATATGTACAAATAAAATCTTTGTTTTTGTATTTACAGAGTGTCGCTGTTATCATGGACGCTTTACGTATCTCTTATTTGTATAAACACCAGAGCAAATCCAAGAGAAAATCTCCTCGAAAATATAAATGAAATGTCTACATTTCACTATTGAATTATTTGAAACGAAATAACCCTTCGTCGAAGAGATTAAGCCCGTTTGAAATAATTACTTTCCATGGCGCCTAAGTGTATACCTCTCTCTGGTAGCAATGCAAACGGTGGTATTTATGACGATCGAGATAAAAGGTCCAGGCGAAAAGTTTTTCGTTTAAATCTGCAATTGAGAGCCACTGGCTCGTTGCACGTTTCCGTAAAATGAACCGAAGCGATGGCCCACGCGGGGATGTTAACCCAATAAATTTGCTCATTTGGCGGGTCAGAAGAACTTCATTTAATTCCGCGCCTCTAGTTTGGAACGTAAGAACGCCTTTGATGTAAAGCATCCGGGAGCCAGTAAATTGTAAGTTAATAAAATTCCACGGAACAATAGCGGCCATGCATCACACGCACTGCTGCAACACGAAACTTCTACCCACTTAACATTTTGATAGATTTAAGAGCTTTCTGAAAACTTTTATCCCCCCCCCCCTCCTCCCCTCCCTCACACCATTCAATGTGGACTCGAAACACGACTGCAGGACTGGGACTACTCTAATTACTCAAAATGATCGAATGCTACTATCCCACAATGTAAATATTTTATATTCAGACACTTTGATAATTTAATATTTCATAGTGTTAGATTATGTTACTAATTAAACTGTACACTAAATATTAATTAGAGAAATATTATTATGATTTGAAATGACTTCACTTTATTATATTAATACAACATGTCAGGCAAAGAGCAGCAAATCAGAATCATATAGGAAAAACAAAACAACAACGTTTTTAATAAACAAACTGAAATATACAATTCAATACAATCGATCATACCAAGTATGAAACGATATTTTAATTTTTGGTATATTTCAATACATAGAATATTTTAATCAGTTGATACTCAAGCATTTCGTAGAATATTTTGTAAACTATTTGAGTATCTAAGAATTGTATGATTTTGAATGCAATTATTAAAATCAATTTGGTCCCTTGTATAAGAGGTATTGGCTTCATTCTAAATAAAATTAAAATTCAAGCAAGATTACATTTGTGTTCCACGTTGCACTAATTAAATATACAATGTCCAAATAATCGCTGCATACTGTATGCGAGTTCCTCGAATATAATTCATAAAAGTATGAATGTTTAAATTTGCAGAAAAATTCGCGAAGTAGTCCACAGCCCTAGTTTATGCTCTTGCGTAACACATAATATGTTCCATAAAGGGAACGCGCAACAGGAGCGAACTCAGCGCAGAAAAATAAGGGAACAAGGTTCACAAGCACATATGTCTTATTTGAGCTTGTTTCCGAGTTGGAGACATATTGCCGCGTGGTATATATACGACTTCAACAAACGCAAATGTGCAGATGACTCCAATTCCGTTAATTTTATTGCCTTGCGTTCGACTAAAGTGCGCGTTTCACTCTTTCTGATTTTCAAATGAAAGGTGAAACGTAGAGGAGTAACAACTATTGGGTTTTGATTCGCTGAAATTATTTTAGCACCAATACGACTAATAAACTACAATATTAATTGCGATAAATAAGAGCAATACTGAAACTTTTGTATACTTTCTAATTTTCACATGATTGGATCGTTGCTGTTTATAAAAGTTATTATGAAAGGTAATTCTTTATCTCGCAGCAAAAGAAATATTCTTAAAAACGAATGGCGCGCCCTGTATATTCTGTCATTTTCAAGTAAACCATTCTTACACCGATGTGATATATTGCTTCAGGTGTTTTTTGCAAGCAGGTGACACGAGGCACGTTTTCTTAGACAATTGATGACTAAGTTACGTGTTCTATGGTCACACGAATAGAGTAAAGTGTTCCAGAAATATAACAGGTGCATATATGACGTGGTGTTGTAATGTAAAATATACAAAAAAATTCTGCCACTTTGACAAGTAGTTGTACTAAATTTTTTTTTATCATTTTTGTCCTTTGAAGTTATCGCGACACGGAAAACGAATCGAGGCATCGACTTCGAGTCCACTTCGCACGATAAAAAGTATCACAGATGTAAATAACTAGAAATAAAGTTTACGATCGCAATATTTATTCGTCTCGAGCCTCGACATAGCGAAGTTCACTGTAAAAAATTGTAGCAAACATTGGCAAAATTAAAAATAAATACGATCGATGCCTACGAGTTGAAGAAACAAATTAAAAACGCGATCCGCCAGTACATGGATTATTACTTCGAATAATATTCTGAATAATAATGCTTGGACTGATTATCTGCGTTCTTTCTAAATAATAATTAATAATTTATGAAATTAAATTGTATTAGTGAAAGAGTATAATAAGTAGGATTGGGGTCTACGAGAGAAGTTACCTAACAAAATGACGAATTACGACTTAACTCAATGGGAAATGAAAATAGAGGACTACCCTCCTACCACGGCGAAGAGATAAACGAGTATTGCGAGGATAAAAGAAATTCCCGTGCCTTTTATCCCAGGCGTAAGTCTGTTATTGTAAAAACAAATACGAAGGAAGGGCGTCGAAGGAAGGATAATCCTATTCACTCGAGAAGACAGGGCAACCAGTCGTCGAGACATAAACAGAAAAATTACATCATGCTCGTTCCTCTGATGGGCATAAGAAGATTAGGTAATTCTTATTAAAGGAATTTAATTCGTAAATTAATCTCTACCCGATAAGAAATTTAATTCAGAACTAACATGCTCCTTTCCTGTGGTTGTAGATATCCATTAAAATGATCTCGAAAACTGTGAGAGACACAAGGAAGTTTTTAAAATAAATTCTTCGTGAATTCAATTCTCTGATTCGTAGATTTTCCGAGAATGAAGTATAATTAAACATAAAGGTATAACATTAATAAAAGTACTTGTTTGAGGCTGTCGGTTTTTCGAATCTTTGTGTTTACAAGCCTCTGTGTTAACAGGGACTCCACGTTTTCATTTACATGTACATACGTATTGTGAATTAAAAATCGACTAAGAATAAATTTTAATTCAATTTAATTTAACATAAATAATAAATAAATTAAGATTGAAGGTAGAAACAGTGCACTGAATCCTCTTAAACCAAATATTGAAAATACAGAAGTTAAAAATGAATCTTCAACCATTTTGTACGCCCTACTATCTTCCCTCAAGAATCATATACACTTCCTCGAATATTCACAAATTTTCGAGTCAACAACAGAGGCTCAAACTCTGGAGGAAACTTTCAACCCTCAAACCACAATCATCGGAACAAAAAATCCATATACAAGATAGAAGACAATCGGAGGGCCCTCGATAGCTGCAATCGCGATCAGTTTCGAGTAACACAGACTCTAAACGTTACGAAAATCCTCCGAACGGTCTATAATTGCTAGGTGCAGACACCGACTTTCGCCAGTTTACACCGTAGAACAAACGGAAACTCGCGGCTTTTGGAGTTCCCTCGGTTGCCCCGTCTCCTTCGAAACAGCCACGCTCAACATGGACCATATTTACTTCTCGACACCTTGCGGGGGCCCGCGATATCGATTGGGAAGCAGTCGATACAGCCAGGAAGTCAAACAGCCTCGCACGAAGTTCTGATTCCCACCGCACCAGGCCACAGACACGTTGGATGTGTACATATAATATTTATATATATCAATCTATATATAAATCCATATTTATATTTATGCGTATAGGTAATGCGTGTATCATATGCATGTATATCTAGTTCCATTTTGGTCGTGTGCAGGCGTCCGACGACTCGCGAGCGTTCCGGATGATCGAGGTGACGTTTAATCGTTGTCACGCGATCTTCTATGTACAAGTGCCGCCTTGGCCAGGACCAGGACGATCTCGGTCATCTGGAACCTCATGTTACGTCGTAGGACAGGGAACTCTTTGAGTCGAGCGCGAATCCGTGGAGTTCGAGGACGCGACGATCGTCTACGTGGCGGATTCACCCGCGGAATCGAAATCTCTGTTGATAAATATTTAATGCGTCGATCGCGCGGTATGTTTAATCGGAGATGGATCAACACGTGTGTCTGAATACGTTAAGTTTGTTTAGAAAGTACGTCGAGAGTCGAGGAGACCCCTGAGGATGCTTCGCGGGGATAGAAAATTGCACAAGGTCCGTTAAAAAATGTAGCCTAGTAATACTGAACAGATAATTGTATACAAGGAACATCTTATTCATCCTCCAGTACGATATACTCGTAAAAATCTCAAATATTATGTTGGTCGAAAAGGTCGTTCGGATTTTAACGCACAAATAAACAGCGATTTCTCTTAGACGAAGAAATATAGTCAGTCCCATAAATATTTGTACCTTCTGTGTTTATTAAAGGAATCTTTCAAAATTAAATGACAGGTTTGATGTTTCCAAATACATTTTTCATTATATATATGTATATACAAGTGTAAAGTTTATCCATGTACATATTTATAATGAAACATTTATTTGAAACCATCGAACCCATTGTTTAATTTAGAGGTACTTCTTTAATAGATATAGGGGGTACGAATATTTATGATCTCTCCCTCATCAATTGGACAAACCCGTCAAGTAACCATTCGAACTCCAGAGAAACAAACATCATCGAACAAACTTTCTGGCCAATCTAATATTAGCAATCTATCACTTCTGTTGAATCCCTTCAAGCGTTACTACAACTCGATAAAACTATTCTTTCAAGTTAAGAAGCTTTTAAAACTCAACGTGTACGTTCTCCGAAAAGAATCCCTGGGGCGATCAACGCGTCAAGAAGACAAGCACCCTTAAAGACCAAGAATTCCGCGAGCAAGTCGCCTAAGAGACGCGCGACGCGTCCTCGAACGTCGCAAACGTCGTCAACAACGTCTCGTTCCATCGTCGCGGTAACAGTTTTCCGCCCCCCTATCCCCTTCCCCACATGCTCGTAACGTGTAAATTAACCTTAATTAATCGGCCCTACGGTATCACATAAGTTCCACGCTGACTTGACTCGAGCCTCGCTCGACCCGCTACGAGACAACTTAGGAACCACACGGTCGACGATTCTTATACTAACAAGAGGTTTGTTAGGTACTTTACGAGCCTCGACAATTGATTATTACCGTTTAGTAGACGAAGAGTATTGGTCCAAAGAGAAATGTAATTACACGTATCTGTGGGGGGTCGGGGACGAAGGGATAGCGACCCTGAGCGTCCAGGCGTTCGTTTTTCTTCGTGTGTCGTTCCCGTCGTGGATTCGATCGCCTGTCGCTCGAAGAATCCCTGAATTCCCTCCCCGTTTATGTACAGCTCTGTTTTTACTATTGGACATCGTACACGTACGAAATACTGTCGACAATTAACACCCGAGAACGTCGTCTCGCTTCTCTATCCCGGTGGATCGAAGAACCGAGCTTAGTGGCCTAACGAAACGAACAACATTAAGATACACGTGACGATACAGCGATTAACGACCGCGATTATAATTCGTAGTACCCTTTGAGTTTTCGGTGTTCGATGATCACAGCGCGCGTTTCAGCCTTCCATTGCGTAAGAATTAGACCGTTAGTCAGAGGCTCGCTGGACGCGTCTTCCATCGTGGATCCTAGCCCTCATTCGCGCAGAGGGTAAGGACTGTAGAGGTCATCTAGGAGTCGCAGACGCGACGATTCCCTGTTAAACGAGTCGACACGACCTGGCGCAGCTATAGTTATACCTAAACAGTTTCTCGCCGTTTTAGAAGAGGTCAAGACACCTACCTGCGAACGATAATCCGCTTAACCACCTTTATAAATAATTACACGTAAAGTCGTTGCATCTGTGGGGCCCTCGTAGACGCGTCGGGACCAACGCGTCTCCAACCAACCATAATCGTGTCTCAGCACCTGACCGTCGTTCAACGATTGCCACGCGAGAAATCGTCGCGTCCGTGACTCCAGTGACGACGAGGAAGACCCTGTCGAGCGCTCCTGTTCGCCACGAGTCCAAGCGAGCCAATCTACGAAACTTCGATACTATTTACACGAACTCCTGATCGGAGTGTTCGGTGTCCACCGATTTGTACGATCGTTTACACGCGCGGAGGTACAATCGATACCAGCCGAGAAAACGGAAGTTCCACCGCACCGATGCTCGAGGAGACCATTCGAAACGTTACTACCGATCGATTGTCCTCGCAGTATTCTGACTACGTGCCAGCTCCCAGCACTCGTTGCTCCAGCACACGTTGCTCTTCTCCTCGTTCTTCCGCAAGGTCCTCGTCGCTGGCGTATACGTCCAGAAACACTGAACAACAATCCGAAGATACCTAGAAGAGGCCGTTTGTGTTGCGCGAAATCGCCCCGCGAAAATTGTCTTTAGCGATTGGTTGCCGACTACTGTCCCAGTCCGAACCAACGAACCGTTTCTCCGCGAAAATAGGGTAACAGGTGACAGGTTTTCTTGGATTATTCTCGTGGAAGGGGCTCAGGGGCTTGGTTACCTCGAGGGTGGAGCCGAGTTGTCGAGAGGAGCTCGAGGAGTTTGAGAGCTTCTTACGATGGCTTCCTGGAGATCTTGGAACGTGAAAGTCCAGGCATAGAGGTAGCCTGAGACCTCTCTAGGCCTGACCGATGCCATTATGACGGTAATAATGTGAAATATTTAATTTATAAAATCGTAGGATGATTTCTAAACGGATTCTGGACTGTTTCTATTGTAAGATGGTCTCTAAATGTACTCTTAGATTGAATTTCTGCAATTTGTTTCCAGCTAGTTCAGGAAAGTGAGTGATCCAAGATTCAAGAAACTCGAGTCGCCTTTCCTCCAAGTTCCTTTTCAGAAACTACTCCTATTGGAAGATGATCTCTAAATATACTCTAGAGTGAACTTTTACATTTGTTTTCAGTTGGTTTAGAAGAAAGAACGATCCATGAATCAAGAGCCTCGAGTGTCTATCTTTCTTTCCGAAAAGTCCTCCCACTTCCCCAAGTCAGCGAGATCTCAGCATTCCAAAGTCCTGTTAAGCCATCTTAAACAAACTCCACATCCAGTTGACAAGATCTCCCACCTCTTTTTTCTCGACAACTCCGTCACCTCAAGAGAGAGTCCGAGCACCCGAAGACTCGGCGAAGCCTAGAACAACCCACCTGGTCGTCGATTACACGTCACTGTCGCGTAGATGGGAAAACGGAGAACGTTCGTGGAAGGCACCAGCGTCCACCGTGACGACGCTTGGCGCGTCAATGGGCGGACGATTGGTGGCGAGCGTCTAGGCTCGGTCAGGGCAGTCCGAATCCGAAGAAAGGCGCTAGGTGCCTGTCGTCGAAGAGACGGGGCGGCGGAAGTGGCGGCGGCCGCTTCCTTCGCGGGGCAATCAGCGTCCTCTACAAGGTACCTTTGGCGAACACTATCTCCCGGTGCTTGGTGCGTATGTGCGAGCGCAGGGTGTCGATCCTGCTGTAGGTGGCCGGGCAATAGGGGCACAGGGACCTTTGGGCGGTGTGTATGTGGAAGTGGTGCCAACGATTGGTCACCTGTTTGCCGCAGGCACGGCATCTCCACAGCGCTGGGGAGCCAAGCGACACAGCGAACATCTCGTGATAAGACAGACCGACTGGCACGCTGGGCATCGTACCTGCAAACCCAACACGCCTTCATGCGGATATCGTCCGTCTCCCCGCGCTTCTCTCCCCCGTCATTTCGCCACTGTATTTAATTTTTACTGGTTGCTTGTTTCGTGTATGCGTGGCGAGAGTTGCTCTGTGTGCGTGTGGTTTTGTTCCTGGGAGTGAGGGCCAGTGTTCCCTTTAAGGAAGACTGATGATATCGTTTGTGAGGGGGCGCGCCCCCCCCCCTACAGCCTTCGGTTAAGTTAAGCCAATGAGGTAATGATTGTTCTTCGAAGGGGTCGAGCGTTTTGGGGAGGCTTCAGAGTTTGCCTGGGAAGCTCCCCTCTTTTATAGCTTTACCAAAGATTTCCTGGTGCTTTGGCATATCCTCGTATAGCGCGCAAGTGTGCGTTGAGTGTTTGTGGCGGTCAGGTTGGAAACTACTGCGAGGGCGATCTTTGAGAATGTACGAAAGGTCTATGAAACGAATGCTTTAACCCTTTAAGTGCCAATTCTCATACATATCCGAGAAATGTCAGACAATTTGAATGATTTATAGCACTTACAGCGTCGAGCAGCGATGTATCGCTCTTGACCCTTTTTGTAAGTGTATGGAGAACGATATATCACTCTTTGGCACTCAAAGGGTTAATATAGCGACGGAGCGACAAAGTACACGTGAGATTGTAGTTCTGTGCAGCTTAAATTTCATTTTTCTCTAAAATTCTGTGACTCGAAGACTCCTTTCGTACCTCCTCCACTGCTTCATCGCAGCACTTTCCACCCCACCTCTTTTTAGAGCCGACGAACAACCAACGGTTTCCTTTAATCATTATTTACCAAAGAAATTTTGACATCGCCAAGCCCAGACGTCTAGAGCTCATCGATCCGCTTCTCCGATCCTCGAGGCGGGGAAAGCAATATATAAATGTGGTGTGTGTGAAAACGAGCAGGTGTGCGTGGAAGCAACAAATAAAGAGGCTTTCAGACTTCATTCGCGCGCACGAGCGTCATCCCTCTCTCACACCTTACACAATACGGAAAACCTCACAAACCGTTCCAGGATACTCACGTTTCATAGCGACGCCGTGGACGCAGCCGGCGAGAAAAATACTCGAACGTTTGCCGATATTATCGAGGGATTACTTGGGAACGAACCTCGCCCAGGCTCCCTCTAATCCTTGTAGCGAGAACGTGGCGAAGTTATGATTGCGTTAGACGGCGATCGATACCGAAAGACGCTTACATACCGGTCGTCCGATGGTGCTGCGTCGATTCAATTGCATCGATACCCTCTGAACGCCGGAATCCTCAAAGATATACCAGTACCTGTATTATTCGCTCGATTCTTCCATCGATACGCCGTCCATCGACAATGTCAAAGTAGGGAAAGAGAGACTCGACGATGATGGATCTTCGAGGAAACGAGAGGTACTTTTCCTAAAGGTTTCGAAACAGATTCGTACTCTGAACGGTTATCTTTGAACGTGACCGTTCAGGCTGGCTAAGCAACCAACAGGAATATTAAATTTAGGGGAGTGAAACCTGTTGATCTGCCAGGGATTGAAACGTAATGAATCGATGGCTTGGTTATTGGCTGACCGAGTCGCTTGGGAACGCAGATTCGATAAACAGTATCACCGATTCCCTTTCCCCCGCGGTATCGATATTTTCATTAAGGCACGTTCTGTGTACTGATGCTGGAATCTCGAGGATTCCTTATCTGTCTGTGTTAGCGTATAAATAGGACAGACGTTTACGCGCAATCAAGGATGTCTGCGCCTGCCAGATCGGCCAAGTAGACGGGAGCATACTGGAATATTAAATTTAGAGAAACGGCACCTGTTGATGGTCCTGGAGACGGGGAGATGATTTAAATTGCTCAATTAACCGGTCTAGATACTTACCAAATGAGTATCCGATACAGTAGGGGATACTATTTGAAGACTCGATTTGTTCGATCAGGGTTCACATTTTGATCTTCTTTGAAATGTGATTCGAGTCCTGATGGAACAGAACGATTGGTAGATGTAACATATAAAGAGAGTCTGTTAAATCGATTAGTAGACTTGGTTAAAGAGGTTCCGTTGCTGAAGCAATGCTTCTACGAGTGAAGTTGATCCATTAGAATTAATTACAAGACGTCAACAAAAACAAGACGTTGAGGAAAAATGTAAACAATTCTTGTAACTTTCCTTGCGAACCTCAAAATGGGTAAACCTCTGTAAACCTAGCATTAAATGAGTATCCATTGAACTGCGTAGTTAATTTCTTCTGGTACCTAACGCGATCTACACGAAGACGTTCGAGTCCTAACTCACCAAGGACGTTGTTTCTTCGCGCTACGCAAACAAACCAGCTCGATTAGATCGATTATCTGGCAAACAAAGTTAAATCACAATATCCAATCTTTGCTCGTTCGGTGTTAGCCCTCGTTTTAAGTTTCGCTAGTCCCTGGCTTTCAACCAATCACGAGCAAGCGTGGATCGTGCAAAAACACAAGTTTGCCTGGAGTGAACCGCGAGCTCCTCTTAACGAGGACTTGGGGCCACGGTGTGCACGGTATCGTGCCGCTGAATATTTCACTCCAGCGGGGGTTAGTCGGAGCCAAAGCTCGCTGCTTCTGATAATCCACGCCAGGAGAACACAACTATACCGTCACGGTTATGCCGGCTGGTTATCGACATCGTGTACAGAGAAGTTTACACACCATCTATCGAGCAGTGCGCCGCGAGTAATCCTATTTGAGTCTGATCGCTGAGAGCGGGGCTTGCCTGGCTCATGATACACGCCAGTAAAATTACTTTCCCGCTGGAAGACTTCCTCCTTCGAGGTAGAACTTTCAGCTTACAGAGTTCCGCGACGAGATTCGTTTATCCCATTTTTATACCTTTTAAAGGAAGACGATTAAGTGCTCAATCGACACGGTAGCTCGAATTGGACGATTTCGAGGTCTCCGACGAAAGCTCGTAGGGCGTGACTTTAGAAATAGTTTTTATTTGATTGTTGAATAAAAAAGAAAAGGATCACCCCTGTAGTGGCGATATTTCGAAGCTTCTAGCTTGAGATCTGAGGCTTCAAAACAAATCTGTATGTCTATAGAAATTTACAGTACGATTTGTATGAGGTCTACCGGAAAGTTCTGTCCGTTCCGGACACAAGTTTCAACGAGTATGCGCATATTCGTTAAAAATGACTTACGAATTGCAATCACGCTGGCAAGCTGTCATAAATAATGATAAAAATTATATTGTTCAATAAAATATATTCAAGTTATGAGAAATTTATTACTTTGTTTTATTCTAAAAACGGACAGAACTTTCCAGTAGACCTAATATCTCCACTCAAGTATCGAAGGAAAACTGAAGTGCCACGTGACTAGTTCAGTCAGAACAGAACCGAATGACACCGATGAGTTCATGTTTCAAAGAGTGTGCTCCAATCAGTGTGTTCTTGAAAATCGAACCGTTTACATCACAATACCTAAACAGTCTAGATTTAACCTGCACAAAGTTGTCGGAAGAAGAGCTAAAGTGCCAGGTGCTCAATTGCTCACGTGACTAAATCATGCATATTCATAGAAATTTAAAGAATCATTTGCATTCCAAGTCTTATAGGGCGTACATAACATAAAACCTGACAATTTCAACGCCTGTAAATACTAAACCGTTTGAAACACGCTGTTCATTTTAGCAAGGCCTTCGTTTGATTATTCCTTGTCCACTGTGCTAACACATCGTAATAGTTTCTAACCTTGGAAACGGAAGTTCTAATTCGTTTCGTATCTCTTGATGATTATTTATTACGCAACCATATTTCCATATATTTACACGCACTTGTGTACAAAATTTACATTAAAACCTCTACATCTCTCAGAGATGTTTAAACCTAGTATTCCATATATAAAACTCTCGAAGTAAACCTTTAGTAGAAGGTACGATTAGGCTACTCCTCGACACCCTCACGCTCGGCGCGTGTTCGACTACTTTGGACCATCTAGCTGGTGACTTTCGATAGAATCTTCGCTCCTCTTTTTGGCAACCACGACGAATTAAATTATTCTGAATAGCTCCTCCATCGTACAGTGGCGAA